AAGTGATTATTAAGTTTTGAATATGGATATTTTTCTTACAAACACGCATTGATTCGCTACAGAAGGCCTTTGTTCACCCCTCGGAGCCGTGTGAGGCACTTTGTTTATGGATGGGCGCTTTTTATTTAACTTCTTTTGGACTGAAGCAATGCAGCACCCGCTGACTGCAATGATAGAGCATGAAAGCTCAAAGACAATTTTTAATATAACTCCGACTGGATTCGTCTGAAAGAAGAAAGTCATATACACCTAGGATGCCTCGGGGCTGAGTAAAACGCAGCCTAATTTTCATTTTTGGGTGAACTAACCCTTTATTCTCTGACCTCAAACCTCAAATCAGGGATTGAGGACAAAAAAAACCTTGTTTAAACCAATATTCCCAAGTTGTTTGAAACATTTTGATTAGGAGAAAAATTAAGAAATGCCTGGAATATTCCTCAATATATTGCCAATTTTTCATTTTATACACATAGGCAGAAAAAAATTACAATTTAAAAAAAGTTTTGTATTTTTAAGGACCATTATTGTTACTTAAATATGATAAAATAACATAACACATATTTCCATATTTAAAAAATATATAAATATGTACACTATATTAAGAGGGATATTATATGATGGGGGCATGAAAATGTACCACATGACTATAAAATGTCTTGCACTTGTATTTTGAGTCCGCTAGATGGCGATATAACACCACTAATGATTCTGGAGACGTCGACGTCCCTCTCATTCTCACACACGCGCATTTATCCTAACGGCAACTTTGCTAAAATGTGTGAAAATATATCCAGGACGTTATATATACATTTTAGGACAATAGTTTCGATAGTTTTAACACTTTAGATATGCTCTTCTTTCTCTCTCACTGAGTTTTGCCACAATCTTGTAGCTCGTACGCACTTGTCAGAGGTAAATGATGAAGTAACGTTGCTTTCATTGTCTCTCGGTTGTTCTAGAGAGGCTAAATGAGTATGTGCTCGAACACAGACGGTGGGCTGCACTTGCTCTGTAATTACTGCTAGTAACGGGAGAGTTATAGTCGCGCCGTGAAGGATTATGCTCCGTCTCACTGCTTTCTAATGATGAACCCTCCATAGCTAATAACGGCAGCCTTTTCTCTTCATGTCTTATTCAGAGAATTCTTTCTCCGCGCACGGGTGGCCTTATTTTGTCGTGTTTAAAGTAATGGGATGTCACTGGTGGAATTGTTTGGGAGTGAGCAATTATTACCGCCCTCATTCCCCTCTCACTTCTGCTGTGCTCCCTAAACTCTATATCCTCACACTGCATCATGTAAATAAGAGCCGCTGCTGTTACCTCTGCAGGTATGGAGATGAAACATGATGAGGAGATTATAAGGGTCATTCCACGAAATGTAAGTCTTTTCTGTTTCGAAAAGCCATAGTATTTTAAATGATTATTTTATTATTTGAAGTGTAACTAAATAGCATTGTTAATGTTTTTTTTTTTTTTTTTAAATAGCTGTGCCTTTAAAAAGAGACAAGGTTGTACTTGATTTAGTCATGCTGACCTTTTTTGCTCAAGGTCATGACACTGTAAGGTGTTTTTAGAAAGAGAAAAAAATATATCTAGTTTTCAGTAGAAAGTTGTTTACTCTACAAACTCGTGCTGACATGCTGGACAAACCTGACAAAAGGTATTATAGTAACAAAAAAGGAGACCCTTGTCTTCATCCTTTTATTAACGGGTTGTTATGAATGTGTAACATTATTTTTTTAATAAAATATTATGTGCAATAAAATGAAAAATTATGTAAAGAAACAGATGGCAAATGGCTTTTATTTTATATTTTGGAATATACTACTAATAATACTAGAAATCCAAATTACTAGATTAAATATACTTATTTTTTAACTGAAAAAAAAAAAAAAAAAAAAAAAAAAAATGAAGCTAACACATCAAGTTTTTATTTACGAAAAACACAAAATACACACTTTTTGTGGAATGACCCAAAAACGCAGTGCATGTTTTAATGTAAATGGAATATTTATTGCCAAAAATCTGTTTGGATGTTTATGGGGCCCAACTTTCCTGTCTGGCCCTGCTGTCTTTTTTTATCCGTCTTCCCTGGGTGTCAATATTTCAGGAAATGAATTTTCACTCTGACGTTCGACAGAGTGCTACGCAATGATCCTTCGGCACTGTTCAGTTATGATTCTCCCATTCTTGCCTGCTTTGGAACCCAGATTAGATTTATTTGTCATCATCCATCACCCATTTCCATTGTCTTTATGCATAATATCCATTATCCTGCGTGTATCAACGTGGCTTAATCTAATTCATCTCACGAAGAAAAAAAAATTCTCACCACTGAACAGAAATAAATCAATTACCAACGGCTCATCTTACATACCCACTTCTACAGGCGTCCCACAAAGCAAGAAAACGTTCTCTTTCAGAGGATAAATGTGGAAATATTGATTGTGTTGGAAGAAATATTCCTCAAGTTATGATCAGACATTTCCATAATGCTCAGTCCTCCGAGAGAACAATCTCAGAAGGAAGAAGTCTCAGCGGGGATCCTATAACACAAGCTCTCTGATAAAAGACATTTGTTCCCTTTCCTCCAATTCTACTCTATCAGCATTATTACGACTTGTATTCTCTCATATGCCAGTTGTACATTAAATGCTGTAAGCCATATGCAAAACACTCATTCTTGGGGCTGTAGTCTGAACTAGCCTGAAGTCGCCAACTTGCTTGATTGAAGAAAGGAAGTCCAATCGTGAAAGCAAAATGTGCTGTCCGTGGTCCTGAAACAAACTCGATTGTATCCAATTGTAGTTGCTGCGTTTTTGCTTCGTAGATTAAGCTACATTTTATACATCCTTTCCTCATAGAGAAGTAAAATACAGAGTATAATGCAATAAAGTGCACACACTCATACTGTTCCTTAAAGAGCCTATAACATCCATGGAATCTTTTCAATGCACAAAAGGTTCTATAATGGAAAAAGATTCTTTAGATTATAAAATGTTCTTCACATTAAGAAAAAATGGTTCTTTGCGGAACCCAAAATTGTTGTTCTATGGCATCACTGCCTCATTTACTTTTAAGAGTGCAAGTTATCAACCAATCCTTGTTACATATTTGCCACATGCACTAGTTTGTTAAATTGATATAGATTAAGTTATACTTACTGATATATTTTTGAACAAATTTAGTGGATCTACAGTAATGTGGGCCATAGGACCCTCAGGATGGGCCGTACAGTGATAACTGGATGGCCAGGTCAACAACAAAGACGTGTGCTTCTCACTTCATATACACCAGCCTTACGATCGGTATCTAAATATTCTGCACATGGCGCCACAACATGTGATTTGACTCCATGCATTCTTGCAAAAGTGCAGTTGGCCAGCAATTTTGCCCGAGGTCCATGAAAACAAGTAGCGAACATCTAGAGAGATTCACAAGGTTGTTTGTGGTTAATATTTTATTAGGTAAATGTCCGGGCCAAAGAGGATGTTCAATGGTGAAAACAAATAGCACAGAATATTGAGTGGAATGGCAGTACTTTTAAAATGAGGATTCAGATGGGTTATATTTCTTGTTGTACCAAATACCCTTTCATCTCTTTTTTTTATACCTGAAGGAGACAAAGATTCCAATTTCCAAGGCGAGACGGCTGGGATTGGAGACGCATATCAAAGGGTAGCATGTGCATAGGTGGCTTAACCAAGGCCTTTTTATCCTTCCTTAATTCAGATGTAGCGTGATGAGAAAATACACTCTTCCAGAAGTATCAGATGTTACACCTTTAAACTGCATGTGACCTTTTGCTGTAGGATGGGTAGGGGCATTCAGAACTGGTATTTGTGATGGAAACCCTTGCCATTCACAATGGAGATTTCATTTCAGCTGTCAAGCTCAACCTTGAGCGGTGTCGGGCTGTGACTGGCTATTGATAACATAGTTTGCCACATGATAGAAATCTAAAGAGTGCCCGGCTATGAGACTGAACGAAACAGACAAAATCGATCTCCAAAGGATTAACCCGTTTGAGCGCACGGTAGATACCCGACTGCGCTTCGAGGCGCAAAGGTGGTGTAAAATATTAGAAACCTTTTCGCTCACTTTTTGCCAGGCTTGTCGTTATAGTACAGCCGCTCACTCCAGTACTTGTAAGCTATGACATCAGT